ACTAGAACTCTGTGTGGCATTCATCTGGGCTCTAATCTGAGGTGCTGTTAACTTGCAATTTCTGAGGCTGGTGACTCGGATGAACTTATCCTCAGCAGCAGAGGTGACTCTTGGTCTTCCTTTCCTGGGGCAGTCCTCATGTGAGCCAGTTTCATCGTAGCGCTTGATGGTTTTTGCGACTGCACTTGGGGACACATTCAAAGTTTTTGCAATTTTCCGGACTGACTGACCTTCACTTCTTAAAGTAATGATGGACTGTTGCTTCTCTTTACTAAGCTGATTGGTTCTTGCCATAATATGAATTCTCACAGTTGTCAAATAAGGCTGTCAGCTGTGTACCAACCTGACTTCTGCACAACACAACTGATTGTCCCAACCCCATAAGAAGGCAAGAAATTCCACAAATGAACCCTGACAAGGCACACCTGTGAAGTGAAAACCATTTCAGGTGACTACATCATGAAGCTCATTGAGAGAAGGCCAAGGGCTTGCAGCGCTGTCAACAAAGCAAAGGGTGGCTACTTTGAGCAATCTAAAATATGAACCATATTTAGAGTTATTTCACACTTTTTTGTTTACTACATAATTCCATATGTGTTCATTCATAGTTTTGATGCCTTCAGTGAGAATCTACAATGTAAATAGTCATGAAAATAGAGAAAAACCATTAAATTAGAAGGTGTGTCCAAACTTTTGACTGGTAGTGTATATATATATATATATATAGATACAACCACATCATTATTTCACAGGGATGTAAAACATATACTGCAAAGATAAGCTGCTACACAATTATGACCACAGATACAGAACAAGATCACTAGTGTGTGGTACTATTCACATACTGAGTGGTATTATAGTGATTTAATTGTTTGTTTATTTAAAATAGAATAGAATTGATTCTGCATTGGTATTCTTTATGCTTTGTATAGCATCATTGTGTGTGTTCCTATTTTTGAATATTTAAATGTATTAATGTCATCATTACAAATGCCACATATTCTTTTTAAACTGTGTTTTTGGCTTTGTGTTTAACAGGGTGAAATAAAGTTATGTTAGTTTGTAACACTCACAGGCACATTTATCAAATACAGGAGATGGGCTCAAGTTTGCTCTGTTAAACTTTCCACATGAAGAAGTAAAATAAGACGAAGTTTATATAAGTGATGGGAGATGTCTTGGAAATGAACTTCCTACTGTTGTTGTTTAGTACAAAAGTTGATAAATTCAACAGCCTTACTATGATAATTAATTTGATGCACACACATATAGTCATTAAATAAAAGATTTAGTGCTGCTGTGACAGCATTATTATGATTATTAAAACTTTATAACCAGGAACATGATTGATTATTGTATCAGACTTCATTAGTTTTAGCTGAATGTACTTAACAAATTAGGAACTAAGGGCATGAAAATACTAATGTAAAATATATATTGACTATATTGTATATAATGCTAATTTTATAGTGTTTTTTTGCTGTCAAATGAAAACAATGTAGCTTCAAATTTGGTGATTGTGAATATTTCAGATTATTACTGAATTAAAATAAACCATTTTAAAATCCACTGAATTAATGGAAAAAAATAATTGGAGATACATGTTTTTACAGGAAATCTTCAGCAATAAGACTAAAATAGGGAACAAAAAACAACATAGTGTAAAAGCTCAGACAAAATTAAATGGATAATAAATTAAATCAACTTGTATATATATTGTTTTCCATTACTTCTCAGCCCTTCCGGTCACACACCCACACACACACACCTTACAAATTAGATTTAAAACGCCACACTCAGTCAACACCTGCTGCTATAAAAGCTGAGTATTAAAACACTTGAGTCATGGCTGTAACTTCAATAAAACTCTTTCAACAAGACAAGTCAACACCGGCAGGCTATAAAAAAACCAGAATAATGCTAAAATTAGAGTGAGTCATATGTTCTTCACCTTGTTTTGTTTGGCGTGTTAAAGCTCGGTCACACACTGTTTACTCAGAGCTCTTCTTCCAAATAAAAGATATGAAACACTGGGAATTTAACACAGCTGCTGTTTGCAGACACATCTGAACAAACAGGAGCTTATTTTCTTTTACTACACGTACAGTCCCGGTATTATTGATGAGTTACTGTAAGGAGACGTTCTTTAAAAACTTACTGGAAACTGGATTTTACATTTATCACATTGTTTATCAGTTTCATTTTTTTTAAAAAAAGCATTCATTGTGTGGGCAGAAAAGCATTTTAACCAACTTTCAACAGGAGATTAAAATCCCTCAGGACCGCAAGTTTATTATTATTCCACTATGATTATTACAGGAAGACACTTATATGGTGGTGAGTCAAGAATCAGGTGATTACTGGATAAATATTCTTATCTACTTAATGTTCTCAGTTCTGAACGTCTAATTAGTGACTCAAATATTGTCTAACATGAGTAATCAGGATTTTACAGCGATGAATTCAACATGAGACGTATTATGATGTGATCCTAAACCTCCTATAATTGGTTATTGTTGTCATTATTAGTTATTATCATAATTATTTTACACCTCATTGCATCATTGTAAGAAAACATGAAAATGTTATTTTTTGTATGTTTATTAATGTAAATGAAATGTGGTATTAACATAACACAATTAAAGGCTGTAATACGAAGATTATTCTGTCTTTACAGTTAGATAATTATGTCAGCCTACTCAGATAAATCCTGTATCTTGTCTACCTGGAATACACTACAGTGCACTTTCTTCTTAAAACCACATGGGTGCAGTGCTCTCTCAGGCTGAAGGAAGCACTCAGCAGACTTTCTGTCTCTACAGCTCAAGAATTCAAAGTAAAGTGTTTCTTTGTGCTAAGAAAACGTCACATGACGTCGGAGCCAGAAGAAGATCGACCGGTCTGATTCACCCACTAAAGATTCAACACATGGTCCTGATACCTGTGAGGATAGAGGACACAGCTGACTGTTAATGAATAGTGTCCCAGCCATAAAGAAAGGCTGCAAGCAAGTTAATAATATTTCAGGTAAAGTATTTTATTTAGGTACAATTTGATTACATAAAAACATATGATACGTGTCTAGAATACAATACATTATTAATGATTAACCCATCAGTTTCCAACCTGTTTCATAGCATCTATTGAGGCATGATGTTATGTTCCAGATGTCTTTAAATTGTTAGCAGTTTCAGCTATAGGGGATATTCCTTTATTTATCCATTATTTCTCAAAAATAACTTCAGTTTTTTGTTCTTTCCTTCGTCATCTTCTCATGACCCTCACATTTACTTTGTGGCCTTCTGGTGGGGCCTGACCCCTATGTTGGGAAACACTGGACTTAACAACCTAATCTTATATAAAATAGTTAAAATTAGCTCCACCTTGCTGTAAAAATAAAATTAAATCAGTATGAACGACCAAATCATGAAATAACATCACTGACAGCAGAAGGAGTCCTTTTACTTTTGAGACATTTTGCTGATATTAATGGAGTTTGAATGCAGTTTAACTCGTTGTATTACATTGTTGTATTGGTGCTTTTACTCAAGTGAAAGGATCTGAGCACGATTCCACCACAGCATTCAAGGTGTTCATGGATTATTTGAATTGTTTGTGCTATACATCACTCCAATGTCTGAAAGAGGGACTACAAGGAAAGCCAACAGACTGTCCTTCAAACAGATGACTCAGGTGACAGGTACTGTATCTGGTTGTATAACTATAGCCTGACCTCTGACTTTAACAGAGCTACACAGGTGAAACATAAGAAAACACTATAAATATACTTATTAATGAAGTCGGCTGCTGCCTCAGGAGACGTCTCTTTGGTGCCTTAGTTAGAGAGGAGAAGCTGTCAGTCACATTTCAGTATCGGACGGCTCCACAAGACAATAATCTTAAATATATAAATAGCCGACTGCGTCAGCTTTTCATCACCATCCAGTAAGAAATAAAAACACGTATCACCAAGTTTGTGATTTTAAGTTTTTCCAGATAGATTGGTTAATGGTTCCTTTACGGGTCTTTCTTTTAAGCTCAATAAAACTATTTAAAAACCTGGACTATCTGAAAGATGGAGAATCACAAATCTGAATACAGACCGGTTTTTATTAACTCAGTTGATGTTTTGGAGATACATTAACTTATTGCTGCTATAAGCTTAAAACAAGAAACAAAAGTTAATGAATCTAAATCCTTCGACTGGATGACTCAGGTTTAAACTCTGCACAATATACTGGTTGTGTAACTGAACCTGACCTCTGACCTTAACAGAGGTGGAGAGGTGAACATGGGGGGGAAACACTACAAATATACAGTATAATATATAAATATACTTACATCTCTGGTGCTTTGGAGAAACTCTGAGTCATATGTCAGCTCCACAACACAACAGCTAATGTGAAATATATAAATATGCTTAAACGTCAGCTTTTCATCGCTGTCGAGTGAAGATAATGTATTCCCATATTTGGTGATTTTAAATGTTTCAGACGCCGGATTAAAAGTTCCATTACTGACAACCTCTGAGCAATACTTAAGTATGTGGTTGTGTAACCGACCTCTGGCTTTCACAGAGCTGGAAACAAAGGAAGAATAACTCCATATGTTGGTGAATGTAAGTGCGCTGCCTCAGCCATCATCTCTCTGATGTCTCAGTTAGAGGAACTTTTTGTGGAAGGCGAGGCTGTCTAAGTTATGATTCAGCACTTGGACAGCTCCACTTTTACATTTCAGCACTTGGACAGCTCCTTCATCCCAGCAGGCCACGTGATCCCCTTAATGGCGTGACGTCAGATGTTGACATTAATTCACTCCTTAATTAATGATCATGTTTGAATTCAAGATCCATTCTTTTTTTATGACTTGGCTCGGGGTCTTTCATTGACGCGGAAGAACGATGCACTCCAATGGGACAAGGTGGTGGTGGGGGGGGGGCGATGACGCAGCCGCCCCACCCCCCCATCTCCAACTCCCCCACCTACGTGACAAGTGAAAAAGGCATGCCTTTCGGATTCATGAATAAAAAACCAAGTGGAGTTAAGTTCACAGGACGCAGGAAAGTTCTCCGCAGACAAATGTTTGGCGCTCTTCATTCCGCCCATGACCGAGTACACGTAGAAACCCCCGAGAACTGAGCTGCGCACTCGGAACGAGCACAAGGAGGCTGAAGAAGAGGCTTCTCTGAGGGAATAGAGGAAGAGGAGCGGAAGGGAGAGAGAGACTGAGATAGAGGTCCTATCTCACTCTCCCAGTTGAGGTCTTCAGTGGATCGCGTCGAGCGTAACTGGTAAGAGGAGCCACTCTTCTTGGGGGGTTTTTACGCAGCGTAAAAGTAGGGAGCGATTGGAGGAGAGTCAAGTTTTTGCTTTTATAAACTATCACAGGTGTGATGTTAAAGTGGTTACATATTACAGGAGGCAGTAGAATCCACCTGAATGCATCAAAGAATTGTTCTTACGTGTGACTGTACCCCTGTTCACTCACTTAATGTCGTTTTGTTTTTCTTTTCGCAGCAGGACAATGTCTAGTAAAGCGACTTTAGCCTTACTCATCTATGGAATCATAATGCATTACAGCGTCCACTGCTCACCTGTGGGGCTTAGCTTTCCCAGTGTTAGGTACGTACAGTCTTACTTACCGTTTAAGTGTCACTTTCCAGGTGTTGGTTTTGTCTCTTTGAACTCAGCAGCAGGGTGCAGGCTAAAGACCATATCTGGCTCACAGTTAGTGGTTATAATAGTTTATTGGATTACTGGATAACATCATCTGACAGCCAATCCATAGGGCTGCTCACACAGAAATAATTGGGCACAAACATCCACCAGGGAGCGGCGGTAATGTAATTTAGGCTGCTGAGGCAGTGGAGTACAGTGTCTCAATGTGTCCTGCGGCCATTAATCCGCAAATGTATGACTAGATAATTCATAGAAAACGTTTTAGTAGAAAAAAAAAATAAGGCTTAGAGTTCCGATTTTTAGAGAAAATTGCATTTTTGCGCAACCACAATTAAAAACATGTTGTGTGAATATACATTGTAGCAACAACTAACATTTGTGGTGGATTATAATATAAAATAAAGCTTCTTTTTTAATCTAAAATCATAAAAAGGTGTTAAAAAAGCTCTGTGTGATCATTTCTTTCAGTCTGAATTATCTATTTGAACGCACTGTCGCTCCTCAGTCGCAGTTTGGATAAACGTGTCTACTTTTTTTTTTTTAGACTTGACAGTGAGGTTTATGATGAGGATGGGAATTCCTTACCGTCCCTGGATTATGACAGAGACCAAATGGATGTGAGAAGCCCCCCGTCTGTCGCTGACGACGTCTACTCTTTGTATTACCCACCAGAGAAAAGGTGACTATCTTCGCCGTTTTTTAAACTTTTTTTTGTTTTTGTTTTTTTTTTACCTCTCAACGTTGGAGACATTCATGTTGAACATCTCATCGCTGTTAGTCCTATTTCTGTCCACGTATGTTGTACGTTTTGTGTGACTCAATGTAACGTATCGTCGAAATGTTGTCAGTAACTTTCAACACAATGCAAAAGGTTTTGTTTTTTACTTTAATTATTATTTATTATTTAAAGACACGACATCAGTTTTAACTGAATTCCCAGGGGAACTTAGTCGACTAGAATCATGCTGTCTTTAAAAAGATGGACATGAATAAACATCTTCAAATTGCGTGAAAAGAGTAAAATTAAAATCAAAATCAGCTCCAAAACTTCTTTATTACTGTTTCACAATCCAGTTTTTGTTAATATAAGTGGAATATTCTTCCAAAAATGGCAATTTTCAGCGTAAATGTTGAAAATATTCTGTGGAAATGAAACGAAGAAAACAAAGACACAAAGTGAAACAATCGAGAAACAATTTCTAACTTCCTCTAATTAAAACACAGAACATGAGGCCCAATTATTACACCTATAATTGTTGAGATGGCTATTTTTTTGCAGTGCAGCTACTTGAAATTGTTGCCTCTTGCGCTGGGTGTGTGGTGATTTTACTGTGTGGCTATCTATCATCCCAGAACGGAAAGGCATGCAGACGGCATGTTTAATAAAGCCTACAGGAAAGCGCTGGGTCAGTTATCAGCAAGGAAATATCTGCATTCTCTGATGGCAAAACGTGTAGGGTAAGAACATCTTCTTGGTTGTCACCTCTTCTTTAATGTTTTCTGTCCTATGTGCGTTTTGTTTTTTTCTTTTTGACTGATCCTTTAAATGCTCATAATTCACGCTGTTATATGTATGTGTCTGTGGTCCCATTATCTCCCAGCGTGCAGCTAAAGCTTGGATGCCCTCGCCCTCTGAATCAGTCTTTATTAATGCTATAAAATCGTCATGGAGAGCACAAACGGGCACTTGATTGATTTGGGAAGTGTCGTTTTCTGTGCCCGCTGCTGTGTCGTTAAGGCGCAGAGGGAAGAATTAATCCGCACAGGCTTAAATTTATTTCCATATGAATAATTTATAGGATGGAGTCCCAGTGGTTCCCGATGGAAGGGGAGGGAGGGAGGAGAGGGAGGGTGGAAGGGGAGGAGGGGAGGTCCAATTTCTCTAGCCTTATGAGAAGGCCTATCACATCTTATTGCAGGTCGAATATATATGTGCCAAATCGTCTTGGGATAAGCTAAAAGTTAAACAAAGGACTGGCATTAAGGCCTTTGTAAGATCATTTTACAAAGATTCTTTAAGCAAAAATCTTCCTGCAAAATGACACACAGGCTGCCTGCTTTGTTCTGGACTAAAGTAAATGGTGAAATGTGATTATTTTTCCTAAAATGCTCCTCAATAAGGCACAGATTGGGTCTCTCTGCACAGCTCTACAGGCTGCAGGTCCCATTATCTCACTATTTCCCCTTCCACAATGACAAAAAGATCAGTCCTAGCCTTTACTCCAAGTGTCCTGGCTCTTTACCTCAGCACCACAGGCTGTACATACAGGGGGGGTCATGTGAATGTGAATGCATCAGTGTGGTGTTAGTGAAACCTGCCTCATGTCTCCCCCTCTCTCTCTTTCTCTCTCTCTCTCTCTCTCTCTCTCTCTCTCTCTCACACACACACACAGTGGGGGGAAAACACTGGAGGACAGCTCAGAGCCTCTGTCCAAGCGACACTCAGACGGGATCTTCACAGACAGCTACAGCCGCTACCGAAAGCAAATGGCAGTCAAGAAATACCTGGCAGCAGTCCTTGGGAAAAGGTATAGACAGAGAATTAGAAACAAAGGACGCCGGCTGGCATATTTGTAGCATCCTCCCCTCCCCTCCTGAAAAACAAAAAACTTAAGTGTGTGCAGCCCCAGATGAAGTCATATTGAGATCTGAACAATCAGTGGATCGCTTTTGTGTTCTTAAACATGTATTTATGTATGAAGTAAGCCATTAAAATGAATATTTTGATAATAATATTGTTTTTTATTTTGTACTTAAAGCACTTGAGGACACATATATCTACTTTGTGGACCAATTTTTGTTCATTCTAAAAAAAAAAAAAAAAAAAATAGCCTCTATTTATGTATTCATTGATTTATTTTTTTTAGACCTATTTATTGAGGGGAGACAATTGTTCACATAACGATATATGCTCCAACAGCCCTGTCTTTTAAACGTTCAGTGAAGAGATATGATTGTGAGGAAAATAAATAGTTTAAAAGACAATCAATGTATTGAATGCTGCTTTTTGTAAAGTGACATTAAGAGTTTAGTTGTCTTTATTCACAACAGCCTTGAAGACATAGGTTTTCACCAAATCCTACAAGACATAGACTTTGATGCCCTCCCGGACGGGGATGAGTTTGAGGCATTTATGGGAGACTGGCTGAAACAGTTCTCTCGCCGAATTTCCGGTGAGTTTCAGGCTCTTTCCTGAGGCCGTGTCCTTGCGGGGGCTTCTCATGTCCCTCCCTTTTCTTCTCACCTTTAACTCTTAACCTTGTGATCTTGCTCCAAACACTCAAACCCCGACTTCTTCTTCCACCTCATTTGTGCTTCTGTCTCTCTAGAGTCTCACAGATTTTTACCTCCAATCCCACCTAATCCCACAATGTGGAGAGACTTTGCATAGACCGATATGTTATACATATCATTGTTGATTGATACAAAATAAACCGATTCATCAGCATCCTGTTTATGGATGCAAGAAGGATATTATGATGATAAAAAAAACATATTTTAGTAACTCTGGGTCAGACCAGATGAGCCCTGTTGGCTTTAGAAGCTTTCAAAATGCCAGTTATCCATTTTTAAGTCTAAAATCCCAAATCTGAGATGAGGACCAGAGTACTTTTGAGGTTTTTCTTGTCCTTTTCTTCCGCAGTGTTTACAGAGTGAGCTTACATCTTTGACTCATGTAAAGTGCCAATTCTTGTGTTTCTATCAACTGGTTTCTATGTGTTTGGAAACCTCTTATTCTGCTAAGGGTTTTCTGATGTCTCTCTGCCCATATAATAAGTATCACTAACATTTAAACCGTCAAGCAAATTAAAAAAACAAAAAAAACAACAAGAAATGATACTTGTTACATGGTAACTTATCCATTGATTTGTTCTTTCTGAGAGACATACGAGGCAGTTTGAACTTTTGTGTTTGAACCTTCTGGGTCTATTGTGCTTCCCTTTTTCTGTCATGTGAACCAATGTAAAAAACTACAGTAGATTGCATGATTAAAGTAATTGCACTAGCCACCGCATCTGTGCAGACGACTCCAACTAGATGGTTTTGCTTGCTTTCTGACTACTGCAAACATACATTCCTGTCATTTCTGGATGTTGTTTTGTGTTCTGTTCTCCTCACTGACATTTCTACACGAGCTGTATGTTGAACTTTGTCCTCCTTTGAAGAATTATCTGAATGTACTTTACTGCTGGCAAGAAATTCTCAGTCTAATGTCATGCTTTATCTTTTAGGCTCTGTTACTAAACCATTTTGTAACCCACTGTTAAATTGTATATGAAGGAAAAAAAGCTGTGATTGGACATTTAAAGTGGTCTTTCTCTATTATCTATCTGTAGCGTGGCACAAAGACCGCCATAACTGACTAATTGACATAATCACATTTAAAGAAGAGGGAGGATGACATGCAAGTACACAAGAGGAAAAAACACAGAGAGACATAAAGAGAAAGAAAAGGGTGGGCTGAATGACCAAGAACATACATACATTTTAGACAAAAACTAAACAAATCACATCACAAAAGTTACAGTAGCAGATGTCTTACTGGTTCCCCACCGTCTGTACACTTATTACCAAATTTGTGAGGAAGGAATACACATTTTTTTTTGAAGAAAAAAGCAAGTTAGTTGTCAAACAGCAGGGTACAGTTCTGCGATCTGTGTTTACTGTATCTATCTTTCTTTAATTTTGCATTCTCCTCTAGGCTTTGTGACGCAGGAAGCAGTTTGCGGCTGTGGTGCCTTGCATCGACTTTAAAATCGCCATGAATCACAGATGGCTATTTAGTGGCCCTACAATGCTGCACATCATCAGCTTACATTTCACCCTTTTGTTGTTGTTTTTGTGTTTCACAGACGTTTGATAGGCTCTTTAGTAGCATCCAGCTTAGACGTCAAGCGTTCTTGCTTGCACTGCTTTCTGTTGCACTTTGTTTTTAGAGCACTAGACGTAGAGTTTTGTGAAAATAGCGGCACGGATCAGTTTCCCGCTCTCCATGAAACAGTATATGTATGATAATGAAAGCGCCAATAGCCTTACTAAAATGAAATAATCTTCAAAGATATATATATATATATTTATTGTGTAGAAAGTGAATATTAGATTACTACTTCAAATGGCGATCTGCAAGGGTCAAGTCAATAAATGTTTAAAAAAAAAGTGTTGTAAGATTTGTATGAATAAATTTTTGTAAACAACAAAAATTCCGTCTAATCTTTGAAGCCAATATCACCATAAGTCTTTAAGTTAAGACACATTTAGGAGGATGAAAAGGAGTGATAAAGACCAAACTCATTATATTCCTATAATGGAGACAGACCCACCCTCGACAGGATGTTACATAAGAAAGGAGAGATGAACAAAATTAAGAAAAAAGTCGGCATCACAGAGGGAAAACATCGGAGCATGAATGACACACAATCAGATCAGACAAAGCAACATACTGCAAATTAGTCTCAAAGCACACATGCAGACACCTACTAGCTGGGAAAAAAAACTATAAATTCATGCTGAAATAACAAAAATAAGACGTTTCCTCTCTTTATCAGTGTGGGTGTTGTGTGTTGTACCCATGTGGACGGTCAATAATTACAAGATGTTGCAAAATAAATCAGCAGACCACAGAGACAAAGGATAAGCTGGTGAAAAGGAGAGCAAGAGATCCAAATCTCTGCCCCATTTTCATGGTGACTCAGTGGCTTTGGCGGAGGAACATTGACACCAGTTGGCTGGGTGTCTGCCTCCCCTCGGGACAGCATGAGTAAAGAGACGTGGGAGGGATCACCCAGCCCGCACCACACACTGCCTCGCTGCACTTTACACCTCTCCAGGACTTCAGCAGTCGCCACCAAAGGCCTGCAGTACTGGTGGAACAGTTGGCCGGTCTCAACTCTGGTACATTCACTTTGTGCCAAAAACAACAATGTCGACGTGTGAAGCGAAAGAGCCGGTGTGGACTGGTTTCAACTCAACATGCACAGAAATGAGGGAATGTATCCACATGTATTAAAATAGTAATATACCTTTTTTTTTATGGCCAGGCTTATATAAAATAATCTGGTGGGAGAAGCCATCTCTCCCCAGCTGGTCTCCATAACACAACCCACATAACAAAAAACACTGAATGCAGTTAATATGTGTGGCTGAGCTCTCTTTTATTTTATTTACTGGTTATATCAAGTTAAAGTTTATATATATATATATATATAGATATTCTAATAGGTGTAGGTTGTGGTGCAGCAGCACTTTTGCATTCAGATCTCTCTCACAGTGGAAATGGCCTGCCTCCTTATTGAAAACATCAGTCAATTAATCCATTACCTGATTGACAAATTGGCAGCTATTATTATAATTAAGTAATTGCCAATTTTAAAGCACAGATGTGGGAAAAAGTCATGGGTTTCAGTGAATAACTGCCCGTCTTTGTAGTCTTCTGTGATATTAAACTAAATATATTTTAGTATATTTGCCAACCTGGGCTCAGAGAAATCGTACTGGGCACTTTTTTAATGACAATTTGATAATTCATTAATCCAAAATTTTTATTTGCATTAGTTGTATACAATTTAGCAACAGCAGGAGACACAACAGCATAAGAAAGGCCCTCTTCAATCACAATGTATCATCTCTATTCTGTTCCAAAGGCTGTGATGTGAGATTTCTTTACCGGTATACCAATGTGCAGGTGGGTCTGTTTGTAGCAAGCAGACAAGAGACTTCTTGCAGAGTGTGGCTTTAACCTTGAAAGGATTTCCCTTTGCAATCCCTGTGGTACACCTAATGAGATGCAAATTATGCTAAAACAAGTTTTAAAAAACAAGCACACATTAACACTTTCACGGTGAGGAAATGGTGGACAACACAAAGAGGATTCACACAGTGTTCATACAGGTTATGCTAATAGATAGCATATGTTGGCTAAGATTTGAGGTACTTTTAAAATGTTGCTTTAGCTTCAGAGCCCATATTAAAGCTCATAGGGATTTTCATACAAAAGCAGCAGCAATATGTTAAATATACACGTTACATGTTATAGATAAAGGTGGAATAATGATGTAATCAGATGTATATATAATTATATATATATATATATATAATAATATAATGATAAAAAAGTCTTCTTGCTCCTGTATTGTGACCCATCAGTCCAGTGTGTGTCCCTCCTGTTGAGACCCCAGGGGACTCCCACACTGTGGGTGCAGTAGGTGGCATTTGAAATACCACCGCCCACCCTATAGCCCTCCACCCTCTTCCTTTTCTCCACACAACAGCTTTTTAGATTTGTGTCTCAATCCAAATTACAGCTAATGACCTTAAATAGATCCCCCATATCTCATAATATCTGATAATAGGTCAGGACCTTTTCTAGACATTGAAGGCTTGTCTGTACACCCATCCCCCTCCCCTCTCCGGACCTGCTCTCTCAACAGGACAGGTCTTCAATTACAATCACACGGCTTGCGACTGCGCGTGGTCGCAGCATCACACCGTGATGTGCGGTATGGGATGTCAGACTGAGCAACCACACAAAGCCTGCCATGTCACCCTCCGCTCCCCTGTGTGCGTAATAACCCCCCTCTCAGACATGATGGCAGGGCTTTGATTTTGTGGCCGTGGCCTCAGCTCTCAGAGGAGTGCAGGGAGAAGATGATCAATGGGAGTGATCTGATTCCTCCGGCCCGTGCCAGACCCTTTCTTAACCCTGCTAACCCAATCAGCCAGTGTTGCCAGGCAACCAGTCCTAGGAGGATGCGCTGGGATTGGGCGGGGCGCCAGTGGCCTTCCTGGGCACCCAAAGATCACGCTGGATATATTTCAATCAAATGGCTTCAGTCTCAGCTATGTTGTCTTTTACTGGTTGCAATGGCAGGTTGCAGGGAGGAGCTGATAGAGGGAAACAGAGGTTGAGTAATATGCAGTAATTCATAAAAGTGAGATAAAAACAGACGCAGACGGGCACACACACTGTAACTAATGCTTCCACAAATTAATCACACAGCTCAGCAACACACAAGACACATTTGTGACCGCATGTACTAAAAGTAGAAACAACAGTTGTAGAGGAAATTCATTGAAAAGGGAATCAACAAAAAAATAAAGGAAATATTATGCAGCCATTGTACAGCCTGTGAGTCTGCACCAAAAGGTAATTTTTCCATCCCAGTTATTATCTTATTTGAAGGATTTTGAGGCCTGAAGTAGTCAAAGTATCCAGTGTTTAAAAAGACTAAGGCACCATGTTAGCAGCTCTGTGTGGCTTGATATTTAGCATGTTTAACGTTCACCATCTTAGTTTTAGGTGTTAGTATGAGCTCTTATATAATACAACAAGTTTGACTTTATTCTCAACAGTTCAACTTTATTCTTCTAATGCAGAATTAAACAACCTAATCCTACTCTCATTTTTGGTCAAATCCAACTTTGCTGTTCTGCTTCCTTAAAATACTCAGACTCTCTCTTCCACATTCAACTCCTACTCCCACAACCCAAACTCCGAGCTTCAACCCAGGATCCCCCGTGCTCCTTTGGGGACCGTGTGAGTGACAGCTTTCTGGAGGGAGAATCCACACGAAGCCCTTTCATCAGTGCCGCCCCCTGGGCCCTGCTTGACTGACTGCAACACAGTGCAAAAGTTCAGCCATTATGAAAATCTATTGCTGTATTTACACTGGTGTAATGTGTCATTTCCTAATGCCAGCCCTCTACCAAAACAGACATTGTTATGTGAGTGGACAGAATCTGACTCTGGGTCTGTCACCTTCTACCTTTGTACATAAGGCCTGAGGTGTTTGGTATTAGGTTCTGAGTAGTGCTGCCCAGCTGCATCAAACAGCCCTCAGTTTGACTGGTTTATAAAGGCCAGTTATTGTGATAATATATTTGTATTGAACCTGTGAATCACCAGCATTTTGTCCCAATATGGAATCACATTAAGTGCGCCAATATTCACAAGTTAAAATGATATGAATCTACTTCAGGTCAAATTGAAAACGTTTCTAAAATAACTTTTTGACCATTCTTGAACATGGAAAAGTAGAAACTTTTTTCTCACATTTTTCTTTCTTCACTTGATTCTTAGCAACTAGATATGAAAGACAATCACCCTTTCTCAATTAAATACACTCAGAGATTTTGCAGCAACAGCCTCTCTTGGTCTGGTATGACTAGCAGCCTATGGAAGCTAACATTAGCTAATGTTAGTGGATAAATCTGTGTCACTAAAATTACTTTTAGTTTGTTGACTCTGTTCAATTCTGTCACAGACAATTCACACAAAAACACCTTCTTGCATAACGTATAAACAAATGTTCTTTCTAAAATTTCTTCACAGGCTGGGGAAGGACTGTGGTTACAGCAAATACACTATGATTACGGTGTGGTTATGGTTAGGCAACAAAGGGAAATGTCACTTATGTTGAAATTATGGCGCTAATACTTTTGTATTGAAGCTATTAATCTCTTTAAATTCGACTATATGCAGAAAAAGACAATAATCTGATTCATATAAAGGTGAAACACCTCTGACTCGGCCACCCTCGAACATGGCGAGAGACTAACTTTTAAATTATAAAAATGCACCTTCTTCCTCTTACAAATGAAAGGTTAAATTCAACAAAATGCAACCTTGATCAATTCAATGCACTCAAGGGCACAGACTCAGCTACAGACTAAGATCGATAGCAAACATGAGGGAGATTTTTCTGTGCAACAGACATTATGCTGCATTCACATGGATTCAGAATAACTGAATTGCATTACTCACGTCAATTAATACCTGTTGCACACATAAGAGGCAACCTACAGACACAAGGAGTAGTCATTATTCAGCTGGAATAGCAGTGGCATATAGAGACTTATGGATCTGGGTGTTTTGATCTGTATTTGCAGGCAGCATGTTCTAATTATGATTTTTTTTCCCATTCTTGTCACTTGCAGTTTACAAGGCTAAATCAATGCAAGGATACACATGTTTTTACATTGACTGAAATGTATCCAAATCACAGAAAGCACCATCCTCTTTCTCTGGGTACTCCAGTCAGTCTCTTCTCTGGTACAAGACAGCAAGAAAACATCTCTACTACCAATCAGGCTCATCGGGTAGATGTGAAGACTGACCTGTTTAGGCCCATCCTCTTCTAAATCATCCACAGTGGTGTCAAACTTAAGAGGAGGGGTAATAGTAGCCAGTGACACTTACAGCGAC